CTCAGTGGCGTATGCAGACAAGCTTTCGTGCAGCAGGGAGCAATCTATATATATATACCCTAGTGGACAAAGGGCCTTGTCCAAGTTGCTCCTAGCGCCGAGTCGCTGGGTCACTTCCAATTCCAGAAGCAAGTAGACCGCTATATTCAATTCCGGGAGAAAATCGGTCACTGGTAGCGACTCAGCACTCTACATTTTATTTGATATCACCAGGCATAAGCCACAATACTCTACCACACTGCGGAGTTATGGCCAATCTTGCCTATCATTATACCCTCTAAACAGGGGTCCTTTCTGGGTTAGAGGATGCCTTATGGCATGCACAACTTGGAAGTAAGAAAAGGTAATGAAGCTGGATGATAAATAACACAGGAACATTAACACTGATATACCCGATTGTGCACAGTGGCACAATCAGGCATGAGCTCTTTGCATGCTTGAGACATCCAATCTACATTGGGTAGGTACAGTATTTATACCCAATTGTGCACAGTGGCACAATCGGGCATGAACTGTTTGCACACAACTGCAAAATCAGGTGTTGATCTAGCTGTTTCAGCAAAATAAACTTGGTGGAGATAATGTAGTGAGTTTATATACACATATAAATGACAGCACAGTCATTCCGCTTAGCTGCATACAAGCTGTGTTGACCAGTAAAGCTTGCTGAACAAGTTGCAAGTGGATGGATCTTTTACAACACTGAGTGGTAAGGGCATTTTTTTTGGTGGGAAAATTGGTTTGAAACTGATGAAACAAGAACCCATCTTCCCACAATCTTCAAAAATGAAAGACAAGACAAAACTTGAAGACTTTTCCTCAGTTTTCTGCCCTGGATGACCAAGATAAAACTTGGAGGTCGTGGCATGATTTTTCCTTTCATTTTTGGTGTAGACATTATTGTCTTTTATCCTTGCTTGTCAACGCTGAAAAAACATGAGTTGTTACCGCAAATAATTTCACCCAAAATGTGGCCTAAATAGGCTATCTTATATCAGATTTTCTTTGCAGACAAACTAAAAGCGACTCTTCGGGTGTCAAACCACCAGACAATTTAGTGTACAATTCGGAGTTTAACCACAAATGTTACCGGAATTTTGGACTCCTTTTTCCCAGGTCAAC